GGAGGTCATTAACTTCATCAGGCAGTCAAAGAAGTCCGTCCGTAGTCTCGCTCTTGCCCAATATTTTCTGTTTATAGCTGAGGAAGTCAAACTAGGTCTGATGAAAGGCAAAGAAAAAGCCAGAATCCCTTGGTGCTTTTCCAGGTGGGTTCCCACCATATAGATATTTGCAGAACAAAATACCCTTGCTAAAACAACACTGAATACTTCAGTGTCAATATCAGAGATGATAAACAATTTCTGAGGCAAATCTTAGCCAGATAATGCATTTTTGAATTCATATATACTTTTTCTACTTTCATTTTTAAATGTTGACATTGCCCAGTTAAGTGCTAAGTGAATATTTAAAAAGTTAACACAGAGGTACACACACACACACACACACTCACAGTGTATAATGATCAAATGAAGGTAGTAAAATTTCCCCAAATTTCTTTCTCATTAAACATTAACACATAATAATTCTACAATGTGATATTTCAATATGTGGATACAATGTGTATGGGTCAAATTAGGGTAGTTAATTTTCCTTATCATAACTTTGTTTTTGGAGACTTTGAGCTCCTCTCTTCTAGTTGATTATAACATATTGTGAATTATAATGCCCCCACTGCTCTGAGGAACACTAAAACTTATTATTTCTATTTAATTGTACTTGAGTATCCATTATATGACCTTCCACCATCACCCTCCTCCCAGCTTCTAGTAACCACTATTATACATTCTGTTTGAATTTTTAAATATCCATATATGAGAAAGAATGCATGGAATTTGTCTTTCTGCATCTGACTTATTTCATTTAATATAATGTCTTCCAATTCCATCCATTCTGTAGCAAGTGACAGGGTATCATTCTTTTTATGGCTAAATTATATCCCATTGTTTATATATAGCACATCCTCTTTATCCATTCATCCATTGATAGGCATTTAGGTTGACTCCATATTTTAGCTATTTTGAATAGTGCAGCAACAAGCATGAGTGCATAAGTGTATCTTTCATGTTTTGTTATCATTTCCTTTGGATACATAGCAGGAAGTAAGACAGTTGGATCATATGGTTGATATATTTTGTTTCTTGAGGATTCTCCATATTGTTCTCCATAGTGGCTATACTAAGGTACATTTTGATATCTCCTTAAACTTGTATGAAAGTTCCCTTTTTTCCACATCCTTACCAGTGTTTATTGTTTTTTGTCTTTTTGATAATGACCATCCTAATTGGGGTGAGAGGAGAGCTCACTGTGGTTTTGACTTGCATTTTCCTGATGGCTATGAATTTGGGTGATTCATATATTTGTTGCCCATTTGAATTTCTTTTTTTAATATTTTGTTTTAGTTGTAATTGGACACAATACCTTTATTTTATTTTTATGTGGTGCTGAGGATCAAACCCAGAGCCCCACATGTGCTACATGAGCACTCTACCGCTGAGCTACAACCCCAGACCCCATTTGAACTTCTTTTGAGAAACATATATTCATGTCCTTTGCCCATTTTAAAATTGGATTTATTTATTTATTTGGAACTTTTTTCTTTTCTTTTTTTAAAATATATTTTTAGTTGCCGATGGACCTTTATTTTCTTTATTTATATGCGGTGCTGAGAATTGAACTTAGTACTTCACACATGCTAGGCAAGCACTCTGCCACTGAGCCACAACTCCAGCCCTAGCTTTGAACTTTCAATCTTCCTGCCTCAGCCTCCCAAGCCACTGGGATTACAGGTGACTGCATCTGGGTGGATTTTGTTGTTATTGAGTTTTAAAAGTTCTTTATATATTCTAAATATTAATCCTTTGTCAGATGAAATTTGTAAATTTTTCTCCTGTTCTTTCACTTTTGCTTTGGTCTGTTGATTGCCTTTGCAGATCAGTAAATTTTTAGTTTGATATAACCCCATTTGTCTATTTTTGCTTTTATTTCCTATTATTTTGGGGTCACATCCAAAAAATTGCTGCCTATACTGATGTTTCCAAATGTTTCCCCTATACTTTCTTCTAGTAGTTTCATGTCCTATATTTATATTTTTGGTTCATTTTGAGTTTATTTTTGTATGAGATGAGAAACAGAGATCTCATTTTAGTCTTCTTTGTGTGAATATCCCATTTTTACCACACCATTTATTGAAGAAACTGACCTTTCTCCAAGTACGTTTTTGGAGCTTTTGTTGAGAATAAATTGGCTCTAAAGGCCTGGGGTTATTTCTGGGAACTCTGTTCTATTCCATTGGTCTGTGTGTCTTTTAAAAATGCCAATACCAAGCCTTTTTGATTACTATAGCTTTTAAGTATATTTTGACCGTACGTAGTGTGATACCTTTAATCTTGTTCCTTTTGCTCAAGATTGCTTTGGGTTCAAGGTCTTTTTGTGTTTCCATATAAATGTTTCCATATGAATATTTTAGGATTATATTTTCTACTTCTGTGAAGAATGCTACTGGCATTTTGATGGAAATTGCATTGATGCTATAAGTTGTGTGGTGCAGTATGGACATTTTAGCAGTATTAATCTTCCAGTCATGAGCATGGAATGTCTTTTCATTTTGTGTGTGTGTTTCATATTATACACTTTGGGTCAGAATAGTATAGAAGCAATGTGTCATCAATGTTTCATATCAGAGGGATATGATGTTGCTATCTTATCCCTGCTGATATTAACATTGGTCACTTGAATAAGGTGGTGTCTGCTAGTTTTTTCACTATAAAATCACATATCTTCTTGTATTCTTATCAATAGAAATACTTTGAGATTCTGCAAAAAAAAAATCTGGTTTCTCATTATAATTTCACCCATTAATTTTACTCAATGACTCTTGCTTGAAACAATAGGTTTGTATGCAAAGTACATTGTGGAGAAAATTCAATATTTAACATGAGATTCACATCTCCTTTTCTTGAGATTTAGGTTGGTTTTCATAATTACTCATTTGCTGTATCACTGAATTCCTGTCTCTCACTGTTTACCCCAAGTAATAAATGCCATCAGAATGTGACAGTTACAAATGTGCACACATTGTAAATGCACTTGCACGGTAGGTATTATAATTTCTAAAGGTTCTTATTAGATTTCAAACACACACACACACACACACACACACGGAAAAGGTGAATGTGGATTCTTTTGTGAATGGGTGTAATTTGACTATATCCCATGAGTACAGAAAGTGCATAATCATTTGTGGCTTCGAGCTCACAAACACCAAATAAGTACACAGAGTACTGAAGGAAACCTTCCATGTTACATAAAGTTCATGCTATATCTAATACCCACCAAAGTGAGCTGGACCCTCAGGAGAGGGAGAAATGTGTTGGGGGAAATTCTTATATTAACATTAGGTCATCAAATTCAAATGTTTTTATAGCTCAAGAATAGGTATATATAATTAAAGAGATAACTAAAACTCCTGTCTTAGATTTTACTCACTGCTCAGGGATGGACTATAAGGCTATGAAATGTTGCTGAGCCTCCACTAAAGAGAGAAGAACCTCACTGCTTATTCTTGGAATGTGCAGGGCCAACTAGTGGAAGATCCCATGCTAGGGAAATCCTACAAAATGTGAATGAGACTCACTTTCCCAAAAGAAGCTGACATAATACTCATATGTTTTTCAGGGCCAACTCCTATAATATGTATGAATATGCAAAACAGAAATGTTGATATAGGAAGGATCATTTTTCTTCTCCAAGATACCAGGCAAAACAATTTCATAAACCTTTAGCAAAAACCTAAAGAGGTTATCTGATTTTTCCTCCACTTCATCAGAAGACAGCCTTTTCTGTAAATTTTCTCATTCATAGAGAACTCAAATGCTGAAAATGTAACACCTTCATCATCTCTCAGCAGTTGTTACTGCGAAAACTCATTCCTCATGTCTGCTTATAAACCTGTGGCAATAAAAATATAGTCTTTTAAAATCCACCCTTAACTGTGGATGCCAAAGCTTTTCCCTTGACCTGCCTATACCAACACTGTAGTCAGAGCCTCAGATGAACATTTGAAAATATGATGTGAAGAGAGTATGTGATTTTTAGATATCAGACTTAAATTGACTTTAAAATTGTCTTAAAATCCAAAAGGTCATAACAGCCAAGTTTGGGCCAAATCTAACAAGTGAAAATGAACAGGGGCATCTATGTGTAAAACAGTTTAGTTGAGTCAGAAATAATCTGCTGACACAAATACAGATCAGAGAGGAAGCGAAAGGAAAAAATCAAAATAAGACAAAACAAAACCTTGAGAACATTTGCCGCAAATAAACTCAAACTATGAAAGTAGAGTGGTTGGAAGTGTAACTACTCCCACTCACTTCCTGGAAGTGGCCCCGTTAACCAAAATGTTGGGACTTGAGCCCGGTACATAGTGAGTGATCTGGTGAGAAGGCTGTAGGTTTCTGAATTCTTGACCAACACCCCTGGGCAGATGTTTTTTGGTTAGTGGGAATATGTCACTTTATATTTAGTATGATCTTCCACAAACTACAAAACCTGTTGCTTATTTTTTTCATGTATGACAATCTTTCAGAAACAAATGGATTTTTAAAATTAAACAACAACAACAACAAAACAAGGTAGAAGAAATAGAGAAAAAAAGTTAAAGAGGATTCTGACACTTGACTGACATTAAAAAAAAACAAACAATTTAATGGAAAAACATAAGAGTTTTGGGTATAGAAAATTTAATGACATTAAAATAGAGAATGTATTTTTCATCAAATTAAACTTGCAAATATTATTTTGATATGTGATACCCTGTGATCAATGCCAAAGAAATGATGTTCGTTCTGTAGAAAAATAGAATCCAAATATAAAATAGAAGATTTGTGTGTTCTTTTTCCATTTTTGCCAACCTGTTTGCTCCTGCTCTAGATCAGCAAAATGTTCAACTATAAAATGAAGAACAAGAAGTGGGAGTTGAGAGCAGATCACAAAGAGCACATTTTCTGGATCTGGAGCCCAATTCTCTCCTTTTTCCCGCCTTTACCTTGTCAATATCTCTCACCTTTCATTGGAGCCATTCAAAGAGATCCACAGAAGCTTGGATTGCTGATCAATTCTGAGGATGTGCCGTGTGAGTCGGCCGAGAAGCAATCCCCAAGAAGGAAACTTGCCAGTGGGTCTGCAGATATGAGTATCTGCAAATGAGGCATTGAAACAGAAATAGGTTGCATATTTTCTAATGCTCTTTGATTTTTATTTTTGAAGGTCCCAAAGCATTAACTAGGTGCCAGGAACTTATCTTTGTGATGCTCCAGTCCCTGAAAGAACTGAAGCTGTGAAGCCACTTGGAACCAGCACATAAACTGCTTCTAAATGATCAGAAACTTCCCTAGCTTTTCCGCTTCAACTCACCGTATGCCTTTAAGCAACAGAGATTTGAAAATCCTGAGATTATAGGACCATAAAAACACACATTTACATGTGGTCACATGCAAGGTTTAAGACCGGGAGCGAATCACAGAGGGAATGCTTTGCACAAGTCCCAAATACAAGTTCAATTAATGACACGGGGCAGCTCCAAGGAATTCCTCAAGGAATCTGAGGAAAATTAACCAATCCAGAGTCTCTCATGAGCCTGAATGTGTGTTCTGGAGCTTCAAGGATGCACAGTTGTTAGCCCCTGTTCTTTTCCATATGTTCCTTCTGGGACCTTCCACAGCCATATAAAATGCAGCTAGTAAAACAGGTTTCCGTGGGAGGGCGACCTGGGAGTGCCTGAATTTCCTTCTTTTTTTGCTGAACAATTAAGCAACAAAAGCAGTCTGGGAAAATAGAAGACATTTCAGAGTTGGCTATGCATTCTGCACATGCCAAGGAAAGGGGGTTTTGTAGCCTTTGGATTCCTAATCCTGTATTTACTTGCTGGCTAAGTGGAATTAATTCATTTGGTTTTACAGAGTGTAAGCTTTCTTCTCTGTTAAGTTTCCCTTCTCAGAAAGAATGGCAAGCTTATCTTAGATGGTTGACGGCAGCTTGGGGATCTACTGTTATTTGAATAGAAGAAATGATCTTAGTTTAATGGACAATTTATTCAATTAATTCAACATGGAGAGATATTTTAGTGCTTCTAGTGAGCCAGGCTTGTGATAAGACATGGGATACACGGTTGAACAGCGATATTCAAAGAGATGAACAAAGGAATAGGCAATTGTAGTCAGTGTGAAAAAAAAATAGGTGTGGGGTTAACCCAAGGGAAGGCATAAAGAAGATATGGATCTTAGCCACATTTGGGGACTTAATAAAGGTTTCCTCCAGAAATCAAACCTGAGGCCCAGAGAGTGAATTGGAGTTCATTAGGTGACAAGGGGAAGGAACTAACTTGAATTATTTGTCCATGCAGAAGGACAGCATGGAGAAGCCTTGGATATGGGTGAGTGCTCAGTGTGTATTATGAAAAATGTGGATACGAGGTACCCATAGACTAGTGAGAGATGAATTCAATGAAGGAGCTGGAAGCCAGACTCTTCAGGTTATTGTTGGCATCGCTAAGCATTTACATCTAATTCCAAGAGCAAGGGTAGTCAAGGAGGAGCTTTAAGTTGGAAAATAAAATACTCATATTTTGAAAGCTTTCTCGTTACAGTGTGGAAAATGTATTGGAATTGGGTGAAACCAGAGAATAGGCTAAGTGGAAGTGAGGGGTAATGGTGCTCTTCCTACTTCAGTGTCATCAGGATTGGGTGATGTGGTGCTGTGCATGTGCTTCTTCTGATGTCACCCATCAGAATGTATACCCAGGACATCCCAAGGGGTTGCAAGGACCCATTTGAATTATAAAGACCTTTTTGAGTGTCTGTGTTATTTTCTTAAACCATACCCATTTAAGAGCAAATACATTGTTGGGTAACAAAATTAAACTTAACTCCAAGAAAGAGAATGAATGGGGGTCTCATTTGTTTTATTATGTTGGGGTTGGAGGAATCATTCGGTGTCTACTTTGTCCTTACCTACTGACTTGCATCAGAGTTTCAGGGAGCTGGCTGCAATTGTAGGAAATCTATTAAAGTATTTGTGGATTTAGAAATACTAAAGTGTAGAGACAATTGCTCAGCAGTTCATTTTCCTTTACTTCTTGCAAGCTCATTATCACACCCTCTACATTACAAATGGTCTTTTTGCCTCGTAAACATTCCTTTAAGGTATGATCATTTGATAATGTGCTCATCAAACATAATGCAGGTGAATATGAGCATGAACACCCTTTTTGACATGGGTTAAAAGTTGGAAATGTGGAATCTTCAGTGTCAGCAGGCACTAGTGTAGCTTGCAGAGGGAAAGAGGAAAGCCCTTCTTAGATCATGTGGCCCAAGTAGAAGGTGCACAGGATGTTGGAAGGAACAGATCTGGATTCATGCTGGGCCTTGTGAATTATGTGCTTTGTGACTCTGAGTTTTGTGGAGATTAAGCCAAATAAAAATAAATAGTGCATGTAATGCATTTAGTACACTGGGTAGCATGGAGTGGGCACTTGGTAAGTGTTGGCTATCATGAGCTATGGAGTACCAGTCATGTACTAATAGGACTTTCAGTGAACTGCAACTGCCTTAGATTGGTGTGGGAGATGGCGATGTATGTTGCATGGGATTTTTCATGGCGGCAAGTCCATTTTAAGCACTTCCTCAAGGTCAAAGTAATGACACAGAACACAGGACCAGGAGAAAAGGAGTGTGAGAGTCCTCCTGCTATTGTCACAGCCTACATTTGCTGAGGGGAGCCCCTATCTGACTGCTGCAGTAAAAGTTCTGGTGTGAAGCCAGCAAAGCAGCAACAAGGGATTGCTCATGTTGCTTTCACAGGACTTACTTCTTTTTAGGTATACCACAGATTCCCAGGGAATTTTACAAATTAAAAAAGTCTGTACAAATGCAAGGTATTTCTATTACCATTTACCCAACTGGTGATGTGGTCCCTATGGACTGGATGTATTGAGAACACCCAGGCCTTTCACTGCCCACTCATTCCCATTTTGAAGTACACATTTATGTTTACTGATTGTTCCTGAGTCCAGAGCTCAATCTTCTCCTATTTATCCTACTTGTTTCTTGCCAATATCCCAAATTTTATTAAGCTTCTCCTGGGAGACCTAAATAGTGGTGGGAAGAAAATGCAATTCTAATGTCAAAACGTGGGATGATGGAAAAACAGAAATCTATTACACAACTTTAATTTAAATATACCATTGAAAAGGGGAAGGGCTGAGGTCATTGAACACTAAAGTGATTTCCACATGTATTTGATAATGATACTTTCCAGTGACTAATTACACGTTCAGACCCTTATATTTTTCATGGAGTTTTTATAATGTTACCTTAGTCTGTTCTCTTTATACTCATTTCTTGTCTTTCATTCTTATAGTTGGATATTTTGTGGGTAGGGGATTCAAGTAAAAATGCAAAAGTCACCCACCAGAATGAAAAAGATGGAAGATACAGATTGTTGACAAGAATCCAGGTCTTAGTCTATGTCATGCTGCTATAACAGAATACAGGAGGCTGGGAAATTTATAAGGAACAGAACTTTATTTGAATCATGGTTTTAGAGCCTGAGAAATCCAAGACAGAAGGACTGTCATCTGACAATGGCCTTCTTGTTAAATTATAACATGAGAGAAGGCATCACCTGGGAAGGAAAGAGAGATACAGAGAGAGAGAGAGAGAGAGAGAGAGAGAGAGAGAGAGAGAGAGAAAACGTGAGAAAGCAAGAGAAGGCTGAGTTTGTCCTTTCCTAAGAAACTTACTCTGGAGATAACAGATCTACTCCTATGATAGTAGCATGAATCCATTGGTGAAGACAGACTTCTCATGACCTAAACACCACTTAAAGATTGCATCTTTCAATGCCTCCACATTGGGCATCTAGTCTCCCCAAGCATGAACTTTGGGGGGGTATGTTCAAGCCACAGCAATGTGGGACAATGGGAACTCACATGTACCATGAAGTATAAATTGATATAGCCCCTTTGGGAAAATGCTTTGTAGTATCTACTGCAGTTGAATATAAGCTACCCTAGGGCTCATTAAGCCTACTCATAGGGGTCTATGCAACAGAAATATGTGAAATGGTAACCAAAAGACATGTTGTAGAATGTTCAAATATGCTTAAACTGGAATTTCCCAAATGCCCATCAGCAACAGAATGCATAAAAAAGTTGTGACATGTTCACCAAATAAGATACTGTACAATATAGACAGTGAATGATCTACTTCTAAATGACATGAATCAATGTAGATAAATTTTATAAATGTAGAATGATGAATGAAAGAAGCCAGACACAAATGAGCACACATTATATGATTATAGTTATATACAGTGCGAAAATAAGCACTACTAGTTTGCACTGTTAGCAGTCAGGATAAAGGTTATTCTTGGATTAGTGTTTAGAAGAATGCATGATAGGGGATTTTGTGGGGGCTGGTTATGCTCTTAGCCTGGGTATTTGTTCTAAGGCTGTCTTCATTTTGGGAAAATTCATCAAACTGTATGCTTAAGTGTACTTTCAGTATATTGGTTTTTCTTTCTTTTTTTTCAGTATATTATTTTTCAATAAAAAGTTTTTTAAAGAGGTTGGCAACATCAAGTTTATTTCTACCACAGTAATAGCCCTAGATACTAAAAACGTGGTTTTTTAAAAAACATTTTTCTCAGTTGTAGATAGACACACAATATCTTTATTTATTTTTATGTGGTGCTGAGGATCGAACCCAGTGCCTCACACATGTGAGGCAAGTGCTTTAGCACCGAGCTACAGCCCCAGTCCTAAAAGTGTGTTTTATATAACAAAGCTGACAGTTGAGAAATCCAGCTATGGATATTTCCTCTAGTCCTTAAATTTATACATATCATACAGAAAAGAGTGCTTTCACATCATTATTTCAGGATGATATTATCAATATTTTCCTCTAAAACTGTAGCCAGACATATATACACAATGGAATATTACTCAGCAATAAAAGAGAATAAAATCAAGGCATTTGCAGGTAAATGGATGGAGTTAGAGAAGATAATGCTAAGGGAAGTTAGCCAATCCCCCCCCTCCCCAAAAAAAAAATGCTGAATGTTTTCTCTGATATAAGGAGGCTGATTCATAGTGGGGTAGGGAGAGGGAGCCTAGGAGGAATAGTCAAACTCTAGATAG